TGCATCATTCATTCACAGGAATCTGTAAAGTAATTACAATTACTGCCTGCCACCGCCGCAGACGGCTTGCAGTTGTCAGTGAACTGCAAGGTTGCTGGTGAGTGCTCTCGTAGTTCACTGACATTTCCTACAGGTTTAAAACAGCCTGTACAGAAGTATGGGCAGAAAACTGAAGCAAGTGTATGCAGGAGCCTGACATTGCACCCATGATGCACCCACTCTTTAGGCTCCCAAGAAAAAAATAATACATGTACATTTTTTTTTACCTGTAAAAGCATGTACATTTATTTACTTATTTACAAAAGGTGAACTTATCCTTTGTGTTTGATGTTTGTGTGCATATGTTTTCTTTGCAATAATACAAAATCTTTTATTGTTCAAATTAGCTGGAACACAATGCGGAATCTTGAGACCCGTCTCTGAAATTCGTATCCTTTTTTATATTTGTGTGCAGTTCAATATACATCCTTTAACTTAGACTAAACTTTACTATTAAAGGGAGCATATGGAATATATTTACAAAGCAGTAACATTCATAAAACATTTATTGCAGGTGTATGTATCTTTCTGGTGCATGTGTTTGAAATGACTGTGATTGATTCACCTGCTGGGAATGTTGTGTTCACTGTTTACAATGCTGTATTTTGTTTTTTATAATTATCATTTTTGAAAACTTTTCAGTCAGCAAATTTTTCCTAGCCAGCTTGTGGAGCTCTAACCTCCATTTCACTTGTTAACCTGCCTTTATTTTATCTGCTTTGTTGAAGAACTGAATGGATTACTTCTGTATTTACAAACTTAATGACTCAGAGGAATGATTTCTTCCTATTATATATGATTTATAGTATTATGTAAAATTTGTGCAGTGCTTTAGGCTCCGTGCACACTAACAATTTTTATAAGCTCAAAAAAAGCCAGAAAAAAAAGCAGGATGAAAAACGCTGATAATAACGTTTTTTTGCTGTCTTGTAGTAGAGTTTTTGTAGCATTTAGGAGCGTTTAAGAGCATTTAGGAGTACTAGCCTTTTATTAGTGTACAGTACATGTACAAAAAACCTCCCCTAGAACAAAAGCTGTTAGAAGCATTTTAGTAGTGTGTAGGAGTGGTTAGAAGCGTTCAGCTTTTTTTTTTTTTTTTTTTTCTTCCAGAAAAACGCTCCCAAATCTCTACAAAAACAATATATTTTCTGCTCCTAAACACTGAAGCTTAAAAAACACTACTAGCCTAAAATAGTGTGCATGGACACATAGGATAACGCTATTTAGCTTGTAGGAGTAGAAAAAAAAAATGCTGATAACAGGTTCTAGAAGCTTAAAAAAACACTGGTGTACATTTAGCCTTACAATATAAACGTATTCCTCCCATATTCTCCCTACCTTTTCTCCGTAGACAGGCTATATGGAGTTGAGTTCCAGGCTCCATTCACACCTACATGTGAGTGTTTGCAGGCATTTTTCGGGGGGGGGGTTTCAGTTTTTTTGGCTTTTAACATTTTTTTGAACGTAAACACTTATTTTCTAAGCATATTTATGTGTTTTTTTTTTTTTTTTTTTTTTAAAGGCAGTTTCAAACTTTAGGCATTTTTTTCTTTGGCCAGTGTAAAACAGTTCTAACTGTAGTCACATCAATAGTCAGCCTCCCCTTGCATATGCTGTCTGGTTTTGTCTTGTTTCCTGCATTGTTTTCTAAGGGCTCTTCACCATAAATGTGAATCAATCAAGGAGTGCGCTAAATATAAGTAAATTAAAAAATTATTAGTTTAAAATAATGTCCGTGATAAAAAAAATATATAAAAGTCCATCCACCATCACAAAGTAATTAAACATTTCTGAAATCTTGTATAAACCAAACACCGTGCAAAAAAAATCCACCACCGAATGAAATGGGTACACTCACCAGAGCTCCATGCTGACCAGATTATAAATCAGCAAAGATAGCGTTTGCTCTGGGAGCGATGATCAGCAGAAGTAATCCAAACTGGGAGCAATATACTGCAAGCAGCCAATCAGCACAATATGGAATAGCCTTAACAGCAGGTAGTCATCACGTCTCCATACCATAGATCATGTTCGGGGAATCAAAAAAGGAAATCATGGTGCAGTACGTTTTAAAACCAAAATGTTTAATTTAAACGTCAGAAATGCACTCACAAACAGGGTGTCTAGCCGACACTAGCAATGACAGCCTCAGGAAAGCAGGGACGAGCCTCGCTCACCACGATATCACAGCCGACAGTCTACGAGGAGCGTCCTGACGTCACATCCAAAAGAAGCCCCGCCCTACTAGCTTTGTCATCCGACGTCCTCACGGGACGCACTCTTTGATTTATTCACATTTTTACCTTTTTTTTGGTTAGGAGTGCAGCTTTTGTTTTATTTAGTTTGTAGCTCTTCACCATAAGCCATGCTTTTTGACATCTGCAGCAGCTTCAACTTTGCTGCTAATGGAAGAGCGATAAAAGGGGAGAAGATACTGGGTCCATCCCAGTTGCAAACATAGAATAGCAGGGCCAGTTTTGGACCATGTACAATATTCCTGTGCGCTTGAAATAACATTTTTCAAATACACATGAATGTCCTTGAAAAGGTTAGTTCATGGCCTCATCCACACAAAAGTTGAAATGTTTGTCACTGTAACGAGGCTCCCTGCTGACAACTGCCGGCTTCATAGACTTATGCTCAGCCTCATTCAGCCGGGAGATACCTCAGCCAGCAGCTGAAAGTAAACAAAGTAGTGGCAATGCTGGCTAACACTATTGTCCAAATACCATAAGCGGCTAAGGCATTCCCTGCCCTGCAGCTGCATGTAAACAGGGGGCATGTATATGTGTGGCTGCGAGATTGGGAATGTGTCAGATGCTTAAGATTGGCTTTGCGCAGTGCTAGCTTGCTTGCCGAATAGCAGGTTCAGAATTTGATCCATACAAACCTGAGCTCATCTGTGCTGCTGACCTGTCACCTCTATTTTCAAAGATCAGCAGATCAACAGGCATGCTGGTACATGTAGTCCAATAGCTTTAACTTGCAAGTTTCTTCTGTTACCTGTTATTCCATAAGCCTTGTGTTCAAGACTGGTTATCCACCTGCTGTTGATTCAGTTAGCTACATACTCAGCCAAGCCATCTCCCTTTCTTATTTAAACTGGGCTCATTCCCTCAGAAATTGCCTGATCAACAGCTAGTGCATAGCTTCCAACTGTCCCTGATTTCGAGGGACTGTCCCTGATTTGGAACAAAGTCCCTCTGTCCTCATTAGTTCCTCATTTTGGTCTGATCTATATAGTTGTATATAAAATACATTTTTTATCTTTCAAAAAGTGTTCCACAGTGCTAAATCTTGCATCCAATTTCTAAAGTGTTGCATTTGTAAATTTCAAAAGCCTGTATAAAGTACTAGTATTGGTAAAAATAAAGCACTTGTGGGTTTAACTGATCTTTTTATTTTTTGCTTAATTCTCCTTTAAGGGGGTGTGTCCTGTTCCTCCTCCCTCGGCAAACTGATACACTCTGTCAGGAATGGACTTGCCAGTAATGGTGGGACTCATCTGCCTTGTGGGCTGCAGTACCAGGGCTGGCCAGCGGGTGCTCCCAGCAATCAGAGACTCAACCCTGCAGCCAGCCAAACACCTGAAACTGCTTATGCAGGTGTATTTAAGTGATGGCCAGACCTGCAGTCTTTGCCTTGGTGTGTGTGTTTTTTTCTGGGCCCTGTATCTTGTAAACCTGCGTTCCTGTTCTTGTTCCTGTCCCTGTCCCTGTCTTGTTGCTGACCCTGCTTGATCCTGACCTCTGCTGACTTCTCCTGTTCTGATCCCTGGCTTGTGACCCTGACCATTCTCTTCGCCTGCTCCTCCTGTACCTACCTGCCCGATAGTTATCGACCCGGCCTGCCTGATCACGTTGTGCTCTATATGTGTATGTACCTGTGTATCTGTATCAGTTTAGGTTTGGGTTTGTTTCACCTTGTATGTATTTGTGTTAGCTTGGGGTTTGGTGCACTGAGTTTATGTTTGTATTGTTAGTCTTTAATAAATTATATTGTTTATCACATATCTGAAGCCTGCGTTTCCCTGCGTCAGTCACATACCTCTGGTCATACCCTGGAGCCCTGACATTACACCAAGGCCAATCCTGACCAGAAGTGGCTGCACAGGGAAGCCATCTTGGCTTGTTGCTGGGAAAGATGGATCTTGATGAGGTTGTGTATTTGTCGCTGCTGGTTTTTGATGACAGAGAATATGCTTATCAGGCTCTGAGGGAGTATACCCAGGATCAACTGCTAGAATGTATACGGATCGCTCATGTTCTAGTAGATTAGGGCACAGAGTTCTCTGAGGTGCAACCTTTGATTCAGGTTTGTGTAGAGTTGGCTTCATCTGGTGCCCCTGAAAGCAGGAATGACTTTTTGCCGTCATTTAGTGCCGACCAGGTAGAGTCCCTGGTATGGTTATTAGAGGATGATGTGGATTGCTTCTTGGAGCATTATGCTGCATGTTCACCACAGGTATTAAGGGATTGTATAAACGCAGTGCAGTCTTTGGTCAGACAGGCTTTGTGTAAGCTCAGCTTTGTTCAACCCATACTGCAGATATGGACAGATTTGTTGCACCCAGCCTCAGTCAGCTTACAAAAACCCAGTCCTGCTTCTAATCTATTTCCTCAAAGCTCTATTCCAACAGCACCTCCAGTTACAGCCCAGTATACCCTGCTATCTACCGCATGTCTGTACCCTGTTCCCACTCGCTGCACCTATCCTGCCTTTAACCCTGTAAAGAAGCCCTCTGTAGCAACTGTTCCCTCCCCTGTTCCATCCTCCAGCTCTTTCTCTGTCCTCAGCTGCTCCATTCGTTTGCAGACCTGCGTTTACTTGCAGTGCCCCAGTAGTTAAAACCATAAAAAAGCGGAAATTCTTTCCAACCAGTACCATCCTGCCAGTATCCAAACCGGTGAGCCTGCCGTCTGAGAACCTGCCTTCCGTGGTTCAGCCTGGTGCCTCGGCACCTGCACTTCAGCCTGATGTCTGTACCCGGCCTGATGTCTGTACCCGGCCTGATGTCTGTACCCGGCCTGATGTCTGTACCCGGCCTGATGTCTGTACCCCGGCCTGATGAACTGATTCAGCCTGATGATCCTATCACGCCTGATGACCCAGTGCCCGCTGTCATGCCTGGTGACCCGATGCCCGCTGTCGAGCCAGACGATCCAACGCCTGATGACCCAGTGCCTGCTGTCATACCTGGTGACCCGATTCCCGCTGTCGAGCCAGACGATCCAATGCCTGATGACCCAGTGCCCGCTATCATGCCTGGTGACCCGATGCCCGCTGTCAAGCCAGACGATCCAGCGCCAGATGACCCGGTGCCCGCTGTCGATCCAGACGATCCGTTACCTGATGACCCAGTGCCTGCTGTCATGCCTGGTGACCCGATGCCCGCTGTCGAGCCAGACGATCCAGCGCCAGATGACCCGGTGCCTGCTGTCGAGCCAGACGATCCGGTACCTGATGACCCGGTGCCCGCTGTCGTGCCAATTGACTCAGAGCCCACTGTCGTGCCTGGTGACTTGGTGCCCACTGCCGCGCCAGATGACGCGGTGCCCGCTGTCGAGCCAAATGACCTGATGCCTGGTGACCCGATGCCCGCTGTCCAGCCAGACGATCCAATGTCTGAGCCAGTGCCAGTTGACTCGGAGCCCACTGTCGTGCCTGGTGACTCGGTGCCTGTCGCTCCGCCTGGGGGCCTGAGACCCGTCGCTCTGCCTGGGGGTTCGAGACCCGTCGCTCCGCCTGGGGGTCCGGCGCCCGTCGCTCTGTCTGGGGGGCCCGAGACCCGTCGCTCCACCTGGGGGCCCAAGACCCGTCGCTCCGCCTGGGGGTCCGGCGCCCGCCGCTCCGCCTGGGGGCCCGAGACCCGTCGCTCCGCCTGGGGACCGGCGCCCGCCGCTCCGCCTGGGGGCCCGAGACCCACCGCTCCGCCTGGGGGTCCGGTGCCCGCCGCTCCGCCTGGGGGTCCGGCGCCCGCCGCTCCGCCTGGGGGTCCGGCGACCTGCGCTCCGCCTGGGGGCCCGAGACCTGTCGCTCCGCCTGGGGGTCCGAGACCTGTCGCTCCGCGTCGCTCCGCCTGGGGGTCCGGCGCCCGCCGCTCCGCCTGGGGGCCCGAGACCTGTCGCCCCGCCTGGGGGCCCGAGACCTGTCGCCCCGCCTGGGGGCCCGATGCCTGTCGCCCCGCCTGGGGGCCCGATGCCTGTCGCCCCGCCTGGGGGCCCGATGCCTGTCGCCCCGCCTGGGGGCCCGATGCCTGTCGCCCCGCCTGGGGGCCCGATGCCTGTCGCCCCGCCTGGGGGCCCGATGCCTGTCGCCCCGCCTGGGGGCCCGGTGCCTGCTGCTTCGCCTGGTGATCCGATGTGCCGCTGCCCGGAGTCCAGCCCGATGTGCCGCTGCCCGGAGTCCAGCCCGATGTGCCGCTGCCCGGAGTCCAGCCCGATGTGCCGCTGCCCGGAGTCCAGCCCGATGTGCCGCTGCCCGGAGTCCAGCCCGATGTGCCGCTGCCCGGAGTCCAGCCCGATGTGCCGCTGCCCGGAGTCCAGCCCGATGTGCCGCTGCCCGGAGTCCAGCCCGATCTGCCAGTTTTTGATATCCCGCCAGTTACCAGACCCGGGCGGTGGAACATATCTGAAGCCTGCGTTTCCCTGCGTCAGTCACATACCTCTGGTCATACCCTGGAGCCCTGACACACTCCCACGGCTTCAACTATCACCTCTACGCCTATGACATGCAAATTTACCTCTCCACCCCTCACCCCTTCAGTCTCCGCCCGCCCGTATCACCCACCTGCTGAACGACATACCAGACTGGATGTCGCTCCATTTCCTCAAACTGAACCTTTCCAAAACCGAGCTCCTAATCTTCCCCCCAGCCCGCGCCCCCCTCTCCATCATGACCAACAACGCCACCATCAGCCGCACCCCGCAAGCCAAAGTCCTAGGTGTCACTCTAGACTCAAACCTGTCCTTCCAACCCCATGTCACATTGTTGGCAAACTCATGTAGACTCCACCTCCGCAACATCTCCAAAATACATACGTTCCTAACCCCAGACACTACTAACAACTCGTTCACACCCTCATTATTTCACGTTTGGACTACTGCAACTCCCTTCTCACCGGCCTACCTCATCACAGTCTATCCTGAACTCAGCGGCCAGACTCATCCACATTGCCAACCGCTCCTCTTCTGCCACCCCCCTCTGTCATTCCCTCCACTGGCTCCCAATTGCCCAACGCATTACATTCAAACTACTAACACTGACATACAAAGCCATTCACAACACTGCCCCAAACTACCTCACCGACCTGATACCCAAATACCACCCAACCCGTAATCTTCACTCCTCACAAGACCTCCTACTTTCTAGCTCCCTGGTCTCCACCTCCCACGCCCGACTGCAGGACTTCTCCAGGACTTCCCCCATCCTCTGGAACTCACTACCCCAATCCATCAGACTGTCATCTACCCTCCTCACCTTTAGGCGCACCCTGAAAACCCAGCTCTTCAGGGAAGCCTACCCCACCCTCACCTAACAGCCAAACTCCTCCACTCCTCCTACCACTCCATCCCCCACAGCCACTTCCTCCTGTACCACTTTCCCCTCCCTCCTAGATTGCAAGCTCGAAAGAGCAGGGCCCTTGAACCCCTCGTGTATTGTTTTGTTACTGTATTGTCTCATATTCTGTCCCCCACTATAATGTACAGCGCTGAGCAAACCTTTCTGGCGCTATATAAATACTGTATAATAATAAATAACAATGCCTACATACTTTTGATAATAGGTGTCCCTCATCCTCATTTCAAAAAGGTGGGAGGTAAGCTAGTTTTCCTAACACAAAGTCCCACAGTGTTTCTGAAAGCACAAGACTTCTAGTGTCCTACCCTGAGAGACTCCTCGGGGCCCTGAGTTCCCTAGAAATCCTGTAATCTAATTCCCTTTGTTCCTAATGACTTTGCAAGCATCTTTCAGTGTCTTCCAACATGATCTGCATATCCTTAGTGTTCCCATTGTCTCCTAGCCTGTCCCCTGTGACTCTCAGCCTAGACAAATTCTTGAATGGCCTTTCCTTCGCAATCCTCTCAAGACTGCGGTTATCCCTGTTGCTTGTGCACCTTTTTCTAACACACTTTTTCATTCCACTCAATTTTCTATTAATAAGCTTGGATACAGCACTCTGTGAACAGCGAGCTTCTTTAGCAATGACCTTTTGTGATTTACTCTTCTTGTGGAGGGTGTCAATGACTGTCTTCTGGACAACTGTCAAGTCAGCAGTCTTACCCATGATTGTGTGACCTACTGAACCAGACTGAGAGACCATTTAAAGGCTCAGGAAATCTTTACAGGTGTTTTGATTTAGTTAGCTGATTAGATTGGGACACCATGAGTCTATAATATTGAACTTTTCACAATATCCTAATTTTCTGAGATACTGAATTTTGGGTTTTCAGTAGCTGCAAGCCATAATCATCATAATTAAAAGAAAGAAATGCTTGAAATACTGTATATCACTCTGTGTGTAATGAATCTATATGTGTGTTTCACTTTTTGTATTGAATTACTGAAAAAAATATACTTTTTGATGAGATGCACCTGTAAATAACAAATCCACCCGAAATATCGAATTTGAAAACTATTTTATATAGCAACCTTCTGAAAAAGACTGCAAAATTTTTCAAATCCACCCGGACCAACGAATATACAAAACAAATGCCGAATATAACAAATCTAATCCCAAAAACTAATCAGTTCAACATACCGAATATGACGAAAAATTTCCTTAATGAATGAATATATCCGAAACTAAATTTAAAATTTCCACTGTGCCTGTCTACGTGTGCCTTTTTGTTTTTCCTTGTGTACCTTCCTGCATCTCTGTGATTCTCTGTGAGTTTCAGCCTGACTTGTTTATGGAACCTGTGTCTGCAGTCTGCTTCAATGTCTCCATGTGTTCATAGTCTGTTTCCCACCCAGTGTACACTTCTGCCGGTTCCTAGTTTGTCTCCGTTGTCTCTACTGTTTGTCCCTGTGCATTACTACTCACTTCTAGTGATCCTTTGTGTCTCTGCACTACTACAGCAGAAGTTGCCCCCCCCCCCCCCCCCCCCCGTATTCTTTTGGGACACATGAAAGGTCCCAGCAGACTATGGAACCAATCAAAAAGCGCAACGCTACTCGTACATGCGCAGTGGGCACCCGACACCCACACTGAAGATGGCGGCGCATCGGATGGGCAGTGATCCCGGTGGACATCAAGGGACAGGTCAGTTGTATGTTTTTTAAAAGTCAGCAACTACAGTCTTTGTAGCTACTTTTATTTTTTTTTTAATTTTGACTGGACCTCCGCTTTAAATAAAAAAGGAGATTACTTGGCTAGACATGTAGCTATTTGAATCAACTTCAGGTGGATAGCCAGTCTTAAACACAAGACTTGTAGGATAACGGGTAACAGCAGAATCTTGCAATTTAAAGATATGGAACTACTTTTACCAGCATGCCTGACAATCTTGCAAGATAAGAAGAGAGGTGACAGATCTGTTTGTGGGTGTAATGTTTGGCAGTGGAAGTATTGGTTGATGGAAAGTGTCTAATCCTGGGGGGCCAAATGATGGACTAATAGTGGCATGGTGAGAAAGGTTGGCCATTGTAGTATTGTTAGGATGCGTGGAAAGATGATGGTGGAACAGGAGGTGTGTGGAGTCCAGCATATGGTTCAAAAGTTTGTGGTGGGGTTGGTGGTAAGATGATTGGAGCAGTGGGATGGGAGCTAGATATAGGCCAGGCAATAAACAAGGACATGTATTTAATTATCTCGTCTTGAATTTCCACCAGGTATGCCATGGAACCTCCTTCACTAAGCCCTCCTAGGTTCTTCAGGAACATGAGTTCCTCAAATTCCTACCTTTTTTTTTTTTTTTTTGACATATTAGACATGTCATAAAAGGTGCAAACATTTGTGTCATGCATTTACAGGCATTCCCATTGCAGTCTATAGGATCAAAAATTCTTAATTCTGCTTGCAAAATAGCTTGTGTAGATTTTCAAGTGACAGGCTTCCAGCTACATGGCGCTCAGATTTGAACAGGGGCTATTGAAAACAAAGGGCATTTGGAGCTTTGAGCTTCAAGCTACAAGATGCCTAGGTGTGAATGGAGCCTCGATAAGAACAAAGGAGTGTCCAAAAGCATATAGCTTCAGCTGTGCTTTTCTAGAAAACCTATAATTCTTTGTAAAGCCAGAATGATAGATGCACTCCATAAATATTTTATTATAAAGTGAAAATTTTCTCAAATCGTCTTCTAGGACAGCCTCTGCGACATAGCGCTCCTCCCCCTCGGAACAGGAAACACGTTGGCTCAAAACCTTAAAATGTAGTCCTCCAAGCCTCCCCTTCAGTTTTATTGTTTCCTCCAGATGGTCAGGAAGCATGTTTAGGAACTTCAAAGTAGCTATACATCTCAGGGTTGTGCTGTAGGGGTTGTGCTGCAGCTGGATCCTCTTGTTGTTTTCTGTTGTACCATCTCCTGTTCTGGTGTGAACCCTCCAGTGGTGTGGTGGAGTGGGGTTGTGCTCCTTGCTGCCGTCCATGCTCAGGGAGAGTGGACCGGTGCTTGATGTTCTTGCAGCACCCTCTGAGGTGCTGGCTGGCCCGGCATTCCCCACTGGGTGAGGAGGAGGGGGGGTAAG